AAACGAAGAGCTAGCTGCTCAGAGGCAAGAAATAGAGTCACTACGGAACGACAAGGTGGAGGACTTGTCGAAAAATTGAAAATGAGCATTGAACCACATTCTAGGCCGGCATTGAGCAACACTATCAAGGCCAATTGCAAGACATGAAGAACAATATCCTAGGGGACGTCCAGCGGATCCAGGTCTGCTGTCTTACCATTCATCACTGATTCAGCAGTGTATTCTTGGCAGGACGAGATTAAGAGGCACTTCGGTCATCAGAAAGCCGAGAATTCGAGACTACAGCAGCAGATCACTACATTGAAGGTGAGGCGAAATGAGCGATGTCATCGACTGTGCAAGGTGGCGGCTTTAGGGGGAGAAGACTTCTTTACAGCAGCAAATTCTAGGGCTTCAACGGAGGATACAGGAGATCGAGGAACAGATCGGCTCGGACTGATTCCTTCCTCGTTATTTCGCGTAGAATGCTGTGCCTAATCATGCTGCCGTATAAAGTTGTTCACCATCCTCTTTCTATTGAGTTGTTAGTGAAGAGATGGACCGATAGCCTAGTTCATTCGGTCGCTCTATGTGCCCTGAAAGTACTCCTGTTGATACCCAGCAGAACCCCACGGATGATGGAAGGGTAAATGCATGCAATGCAGCATCGCTGTTTAGAACTCCACGAGCTGTGAATGTTGTCTCGGGTAGGTCGCTTCGGGTGACGTCACTCCAGTCCGATCAAGGCGGTCGTCTTCAACAACACTCGTCATGCGATCGCCGGAGTCCAGAGATGTATGCTATCTGTTGAGCACGCCACATGCCAAATAGATACTTCTATGGGTCGCCACGCCTAAGCTGGCTAGCTCCTATACTCCCATCCATCAACGCTTGAAGGACGGGCCCCTTTCGGCCGACCGCATCAAGGGGGCTCACGACTTGACCGAACACGTCAGTCGGAAGTCGCAGGAGGCCCCACTTCTTGTGGAGTTCAAGGCGGAAGTCATTAGTACGACGTGGGTGAATTTGAGAGTAAATAAGGATCGCGCAGATCCTATGGCGAAACGGAGGGCCGCTGAGCAGCTGGTAATGGCACAGGTGAAGAGCTACGCTCAACGGTGTAGAACACGGGCCAAGCTTTACTGCGTTGGAGATCGACACAGTGAGCGATCCGCTGGCTGTTTCTGCATAGTGGCATTGGTTAGGTCCTACCCACAAGAGGAACGGAATCTGGGATACTGCTGAGGGCGTTTGGTAAGGCGTGCTACAACAAGGCGTGGTCATGAGCCTGAACAGTCACCCGGAGTCTCCATCCGCGTCTACCATTCGGACCTCTGTGGCATCTACTGCAGCATCCGAGCGGGATATGGATGATGTCGCGATGGGCGAGCGCTGTGTCCCGACTCGTAACACAGAGCTAAATTTTGAGTCACTAGTGAGCGAGGAGGTGACCGTATACTCCACAGTATCTCCGAACTGTATCTCTTAAAGGCATGCCTACACGAGAGTTTCTAGCTGTCTCTCAGGCCCTTATCAGAACAACCGTTCTCCGCTCGAATGCAGTTGACTTTACATTGAAATTCGCCAAGACTGTAGAAATGCTAGAGAAAAGTTTACGACTAAGGTACCACTCATTCACTATCCGATCCCATAGTGGGCTCGCCTCAGGAAACCAACCCGTCGCCGATCTGTCTGCGGGGCTACGGATAAGTGGATTTCATCGGACGGTTAGGGACCTCGCGAGTGCTTCCTGCTAGCCTCCGACTGGTGTTCAGATATCGATTTACGGCTCAAAGAGGCTCGGCTTTGGTCGGACATCCAATGTGATGGTTCCGATCATGTAGATTAAATTACTCGTTCACTCTTGTATTAAACTCATCCATGGACTTTCCGGAAGGTCCACATGTTCACTTCCACTAATGTGGCTACGCTTGCGTTTATCAACTCTTTTAAGGTCAAGACTACTCGAATAGCAAAATATGCTAACACATTCTTCTTATATTTTCATCAATATTGGGCACAGAATTTAGTATTTTATGATGCAGATAACTACGCTTTCTTCCGATACCGTGCATGAAAAGCCGCCGTTAGTGAGTACGGCACTGTACTATCGAATCAACACAAAACAAGTTGCAATGTGGAAAATGTGAGCACTGTAAAGGCAGTTGTCCATCACGTTTAGGCAACTTGGGCTGAACTCGAGACACTGGACAAGTCAAGCGTACGATACCTAATGCAGCTGATGAAGTTGACGATGACATACGATACACGCCTTACTTTTCTCGATAGTCGGGGTCTTCCTTCAACTTCTTCACATACGCAATAGTAGCAGCCAAGTGGGCCTTCACCGCAAGAATACCCGATACCGAAGATGCTGATGAAGTGTTGTTCATCGAATCTAAATGCGGCACAAGGGTGCGGGCAGTCTAATCGATCGTCAACCCACTGTGACTGTCGAGGAGAGGATTTTTGGCTCCGGACGCGGTACTGTTAGGATTAGCAGACTCAAGCGCGAATTTCACGTGCTCTTCGCAAAGGGCGATCAAACTGCTAATATGCGATGGTAGAACCTGCCATATAAGTAGAATGTTGTCACTCGCCACGAAAATAACTCAATAACCTGTTCGTTGCCCTTGTTGAAGTAGAAAACATAGCGGTCGAGAACGTCAACGAACAGCGACACCGCCGTAGTCTCCGAGATATCCATCTTATCAACATCATTCAGAGTCGAGTCGTTGCCGAGTCCACCTGAGCGAGTAGTGCGAACGCTGTCAAGAGCTCAACAATAACTACTTTCCAAAATCCTCTCAGCAATCTTTAAGCATCGCTGTAGACACTCGAGGACCCGTCGAGGGTCCCATCGATCTCGAGGGAGAACCTGCAGTCTTATTGCATCGTGGTTACCAGATCTAGAATCCTACAGGATTCCAAAACATGTCCGCACAGCAAAGAATTTGTCTGCACTGCTCAGATTGCTGTAGGAGCTTCGCCGCGTGTTGTGTTATCTGAATAAAGCCTTCCCGCGACCTGTCTTGAAGGCATAACCAATTCTACCGTAGTCGAAGTCACTTCGTAGTCCTCAAGAGTGAGGGCCTGCCCAGCTGGTCCGAGGAGAGCTCCAACGAAAAGTGGTATGCATGCCTGATAAAAAACCAGTCGCTGTACTTCCCGACTACATGATTATAACTACACTCTGTTTTGGGGACTCAGTGATGTCGTCCTCATACGTTGCCAAAGCACGGTTAATGAACTCACAGCAAATGGACTCGAACGCGCCCTCACCGTAGAGATTCACTTCGACATAACCGGCAACCTAACACAAACACGATCATCGCCGCCTTGAGCATCATACTATGCACATTGTGGACTAGATGTGTCGGTGACTTCAGGATGGCACACATAAAATGTGTTATTGTCCGTAACTTCAGCAGAATTCAACGAATTTTCCAGCGAGAGGTAGCTCCTTAAAAAGATCGCGATGAGCGCTTTTCAATGGTGTCGTCGAATTTCGTATGAATTATGCAAGTTGCAGACAATAGCACATTTTTTGGGGCACCATGTATATGAAAATTCTGAGGGAATTTTCGGAAATTCTCGTTGGTTTCTGAACAAATTCGTATATAAACTCCTATTGCCAGGGGAGGAAAGCGAATATATGTTCCAACACTGCTTACCGCTGCCGCATCTAACCACATCTTCACAGTCTGCATAGCCGCTGTAGGGCCTCCACCCAATAGACAATGAGAACCGTATGCGTCCAAAGTCTTATAAATCTGCATCATAATGTTAGCGGAGCGATACAGGAAACATCGGAAGACTACGAATTGGAAAGCCTTCTTAGTGCTGTTGAAGAGCCTTGTGTGTTGCAGTTCGAGGGTCCTCACCTTCGGTGCTAACTTCATCGCGCGGTATACTACGGGTACTAGCGTAACCGTCTGAATCGATTCAACTGCATTCGGCCCAGGTGTCCCCTAGTACTACCAATTTAGCTGGACTACCATGCCCCAAATGTTGCCGCATAACACCGAGGAGCTGCAACTCGAGATCAGTATTAGCGTCGCTCTCTCTAATGAGGTGACATATCTTTGCCAAGTTGCACTGGTCGCTGGCAGCCTCTGTAGCATCCGAGGCTGGACAAAGGACACAAACGTCAAATTCAAACAAGTGGTGAAAGAATCCAATTTCGAGTCATTTACCTTCCACGTCGCCAAGATTTATATCCAGATGAACGTCCAAAACAATGGGGAGGTAAAATGCAGATGGAAAGCCCCAATGAGGTACTACCATATTCCTCAGAAATGAGCGGTCGCAAGAGAGTCATGAAGCTCTGTAGACGATTGACATTATCAATAACCTGTCTATCAGGATGCTCGCACATCAGAAGAGCATTGACCATGCCCACGCCACAGTGAGCTTGGGTCTGGGGTGCTAGATACCTACAATAACAACAACAACTGGTAGTAGTAGTAGTAGTAGTAGTAGTAGTAGTAGTAGTAGTAGTAGTAGTAGTAGTAGATCAACAACGCCAGATGGAGGCCATACCTGTACACGTTGCTGTAGGCTTCCGAGAGATTGTCCATACAGCTGAGCCCCAACTCTTCCAATGGTCTAAAGAAGGAGAGGGGGTATGTCAAAGTCGGGTGGACGAGATAGTGCTCACTTGCTGAGGAGATCCACCATGCTGAAGCACGCCTTCTCGTCTGGTTGGATTTTTACTGCCCCACCAGAGAGTTGCTTGTCCAGCATCCGTGCCAGAGCAGTATGAATTGACTGAGATTAAGGCGAGAATACTATGGCAGCGGCGTACCAGGCTAGTGGTCCTGTGACTAGCACCATCACTACTAATGGTCCTGTGACTAGCACCATCACTACTAGTGGTCCTGTGACTAGCACCATCACTACTAGTGGTCCTGTGACTAGCACCATCACTACTAGTGGTCCTGTGACTAGCACCATCACTACTAGTGGTCCTGTGACTAGCACCATCACTACTAGTGGTCCTGTGACTAGCACCATCACTACTAGTGGTCCTGTGACTAGCACCATCACTACTAGTGGTCCTGTGACTAGCACCGTCACTACTAGTGGTCCTGTGACTAGCACCATCACTACTAATGGTCCTGTGACTAGCACCATCACTACTAGTGGTCCTGTGACTAGCACCATCACTACTAATGGTCCTGTGACTAGCACCATCACTACTAGTGGTCCTGTGACTAGCACCATCACTACTAATGGTCCTGTGACTAGCACCATCACTACTAGTGGTCCTGTGACTAGCACCATCACTACTAATGGTCCTGTGACTAGCACCATCACTACTAGTGGTCCTGTGACTAGCACCATCACTACTAATGGTCCTGTGACTAGCACCATCACTACTAGTGGTCCTGTGACTAGCATGACTACTAGTGGTCCTGTGACTAGCACCATCACTACTAGTGGCCCTGTGACTAGCACCATCACTACTAATGGTCCTGTGACTAGCACCATCACTACTAGTGGTCCTGTGACTAGCACCATCACTACTAGTGGTCCTGTGACTAGCACCATCACTACTAGTGATCCTGTGACTAGCACCATCACTACTAGTGGTCCTGTGACTAGCACCATCACTACTAGTGGTCCTGTGACTAGCACCATCACTACTAGTGGTCCTGTGACTAGCACCATCACTACTAGTAGCAGGAAGTGATTTCCCGTTTCCCATAGTACCTGCAAGTGGTCCTGTCTATCGGGATAGAGTGTTATGGTGAACCCAAGATAAGCTCCCATGATATCAATCAGGGACGCCAGACTGCTACGACTCCCTCTACCACGCCCTGCAATCACAGCTCATTCACCACAACACTTCTACTCTAAGACCAATACCTTGTCCACTCTCCGAAGTGTCAACGGTTTGTGCCGCATCGATCTCACTGCGGTCCAACATACGATCGAGATGCGATCGGAAGAGCTCGAAAACGTCCAAGTCGTGAGGGACCGACCCCGGGTTCGACGAAACCTGTCATTGGACATTCTGCGATGCGTTTGAATTCATTCCAAGTCCTACGTATACTGCTAGACGATTCATAAGGTTGACAATGATTGGCTTGAGGTCCACAGCGCCTAACACAGAGACGGTAGGTGTATATATTGATACTAGGGGAAGTACTGTTGGTTTTGCTGCATGTCGTTAGAAGTGAGTCCAGTGTAGAGAGATGATATTCATCCGGGAAGACCTAGGAAGAACATAACAATCTAGACTCAGTCCTCGAACATTAACCTAACCTGTATAATGCAATCTAGTAGATATTGCTGAGCCATAGTATCCTGGCATGAGACCACTTGGTCCAACAGCTTGGGCAAAACGATCGATACGTATATCTGAACTCTGTCAATGAACCTCAGCTAGTCACCACATGATGACCTCAAGTGGCGATCTCGAATAAAACGTGTCCCCACTAAATTGCAGTATATTATATCGATACCCCTGCATAAGGTTGACCATATAAACGGCAGGAGTAACATATCACTATAGGATACGTTGCCAACTATATACAGTTCATAGAACAATACGAATCACTGATACTTCCAAATTTCATGTATGAAATGATGACCGAAGCCCCAAGGCTGTACTACATTCTTATCCATGCCATCGAGTTGGCTCAATCTAATGAGGTTGTTGCCCACAAGAACACGAAGGTCGTGTCGCTCCCTTTCTCGCCTCGCCCGGTCTCGTAGACTACCTGCAGCATTGTGGGAAAATATGCACATGCTGGGCTAGATGTGTCGGGGACAATACGGAAACTTTGGGGAAAATTTTTCGTCATTTTTCAACACTCCTGCTCTAATTCGTATATAAACTTCTGAACTCAGCTGAGGAGAGCCAACATATTTTCCAACACTGGTCTACATTTTTACGGAGCGTACAGACATATCTCCGATGAAGTACCCTGATGATTGAGTCTTATCCACAGTTGGTTGGCCTCCGTGAAGTTGTTGAGTATGAAATCAATGGCGTCGTACACATTGCCCCCCTCGATCCCTTCATACTGACACACCGAGACTTAACAATCGTATAGTAGCAGTGAAGAGAAAAAGACAATACCGCTGAGCCAGTATCTGGTAATTTATCCTTGCAGCACTGCGATAAATAGTATCGTAGGAATAAGCCTCTTATGGGATGCTGAACTCCCTAAAACCACAAAAATAGGAAATTGCGTAAAAAAATCATTACCTTGCAAAGTTCAGTGAGATCGGTGAGTATCTCCTTGGCAGGGGCGTCCTTGCTCTGTATAAAACCCGCTCCCACTGTTATCAGTAAATACAATCGTGGTATGATGTTACCTGATACGTAGAGATATACGGTAAGCCCTGAAATGATAACTTACCTGCATGCTGGACTGACTCGTAGAGAGCGGACAATTTCATACCATGCCTCTGAGTTTCTTGGAAATACAACGCCAACGATTGTAAGTCAGTAAAAACCTACAAAGAGGAGTTGAAAGCACTCTAAGTCGCTACTGATAGGAGACCTGCATATAGAGCTCGTAGTAGGTCTTAGGCTCCAGTGTACCCGTCCTTAGTTCACATATCATGTTGGACGCATGCTTCAACGTCTCTCGCATGTTGTTGTTGGCGATCGACCTGAGAGTAGTAGTGGTGGCGATGTGGAGAAGGAGTGGTATTACTGCTTCATCAGCCATGCCTGTTCCTTAACAACAGCTGATGCTTCTTCTAGTAGACGGTCCTGCTCAGAGTCGGAGCCCGCATTTCTCATGATGGGCAATAGGGAAAACGAGGAATAGGACTACACTTCACTATTGCTCAAGGGTAACGTATATCAAGCCGGCGAGGTATAGGTCGTTACTGTCAATGGAGAGAATAGTTAATATGGCATACGCGAGTGATTCGAGAATTTCATAAGACAAATTAGCACTTTAGTGAAGTGCTTAACCAGTCCGCGTCCGAGTGATTTTTTTCTGAGCTCTGGGTCTGGAAAATTCGCCACCAATAGCAACCGCCTTAGAAAGTCTGATCCACCAAGTGCACGGACAATGGGATACTTCTATTGGCCCTAGTGGGCTAGAGAGTAAGTTGGAAATATTAATAATGCTAAACGTGAATCGCTTCGCTCCGCTGCTTTTGTATTCGCGTGCATCCTCAGTGTTGCGGGTTGTATCCGTTGGAGAAAGATTGACCGGCGTGATGGAGGGGCCGTCTTCGCGAGGGTGAAGGCCCTGAAGAGGTCGGTCGAAGCCTTAGATCAGGAAGACGTGATGATTCAATCA